GCTCCATCCGTTACAATAGAGAGTACCTGCACACTGATCAAAGACCTTCCTTTTCAAGCACATGGGAATATCTGGTCAAATACTTCCCTCAGTTCTCCGTAACGCTGCCCATGTTAATCACATTCTCCTGTTTAAAGTCTGTTGTTTGATTGTCTCGTCCTAATTTAATCTCATGGCCCCGATTACTTATAGCAATGTGCAATTTGCGTGTTTTGGAAAAGTTAATTTATGTCCACTTTGTGTACAAGAGCTCTGCAGTTCTTAAAGAAGTTAAAGGCATGATCTACAAGGTCTGCAATAAGGACTATGTGGTCTGCAAACCTCAAGTTGCTTAGAAACTCCCCATTTATGTTGACTTCAATATTTTCCCAATTATTGTTTCTCATGGCCCTCCGTAATAAAGCGGTGAATAGTTTAGGATCCTTACCTGATACTCCTCCCCAAGAAAAACGTGTTTGTGTCGTCGCCATACTAAACTCTGGCTGCAATTGTTGCGTTAGTATACATTTATATATATATATATATATATATATATATATATATATATATATATATATATATATATATAGCGAGTGTTTGCAACTTTAATTTTGTCGCTTCTCGCATCCCAATCGCCATAATTTCTTATCGGCCCTTGAAGACCTCTATTTTCCATTTCTATATGAATATTGGATATCCATTTCTCTCTTGGCCTTCCCCTTTTATTTTTCTGTGTAGGTCTCCAGTTACAAACCTTTCGTGGTATCCTTTCTTCGTTCATCCGTCTCAGGTGTCCATACCATTTTAATTGTTTTTCGGCTGCCGAAAAACATTTATATATACATGTATATATTCCGAAGAAGACGTGTATATCTTTGATTAATACTACACTCTGTAAGAGCTCTTAACATGCAGATATGCTGAACTTAGCCAAATGCTTTCTCAATGTGTATAAATATTATTATCAATGGCTGGTTGTATTCTGTAACTTTCTCTATCAACGACTTTATTACTTGTAGCTCGTTATTCGTTCCAAAACCACTCCTAAATTCAGCTTGCTCTAGAGGTTGGTGAAAATCTAACTTAATTTCTCATAAAGAGGAAAACTTCGCGTTTATTTTTAGACCCTAGTTTCGGTAAGCATACATATTACTATTTGTGTGTTGCTTCCGCCATGTTTCGAATTTTTAAGACTATATTCCTTTATACCATTATTAAAAAATTGGTTCTTTGTAAAATTATTTAGTCTAACTCAAAATATTTATATTTAAATGTAAATTTAATTAATATTTAACTTTCATTTCCATTTAAAAAATATCGATTATATTTGTTCCAGATTAACGTGAACCTCAATAAAGTACAAGTTTTTTTTTGAGACTCTTTTTTGACACGTTCTTTTTTATTTCAATGCTATAAAAAATCTTTTTTGAAGCGTAGAAAAAACAGAAGTAAGAAAGAGTAGAGTAGAGTAAGAAAAGGTTTATTTTTTTTAGCCAACCAACCTGATACTTGGATCAACTTTGGGGAAGAATTTTGTTTAATTTACATATTGATTTTAATTTCTCATTTGAGGATTTTTCCCCTAAGGATTCAATTTTATTTCGAGATCGGTTCAAAATCAGGCATAGAATAATTACATAGAGTTAGAGGAGATTGAACATTTTGGGGTTTCCTAACCAATCCATCCAGTAATCTGGGGGGCCATAAGGATCCTCCTGCATCGACAGTGTTTTGCATTCCATTTATTAATAATGTTTTATTTTGTTACTTGCAAAATTACTACTATTGTTTATTGGACAGATTGGTCCTATGCAGTAAACAGTTGTGCGTACATTAGTCGACTTATGGTATACATTTTTTTTTATTTTCCTAATTTAATACTTAACTTTACCTAGTACTTATTTAAAAAACTTTTTAAGGTCTTCTTTATTTTTCGTTTTTTTTTTTAGTTAAATTTAATTTATCAGTGCTAGTATTGAATAAATATCTTTTACATTGATATTATAACCCATATTAGGGAATATCCTCAAGATACTTGGATACGACTTAGCGGAGCTTATTCTTTACACCTCCCTGGCACCAAAATCTTTACTTCCGATAAAGATTCTTTACACTTTGTTAATTTTATTTCTTTAAATTTGTTTGTTCGGTCTACATCTTGTTCAATCTTCCACTGTCATTTACAGACATGCAAATTGGCCGATTGCATCCTGAGTTTTCTAGTGGTCATTTTTATGCAATAAGCTTCTTGTTTCCTTCAGTCGCGCATTTTGCAATCTCCTTTATTTTTATTTTTTATAATTGACTAGCAAGTGGTTCTCAAATCGTCTTAATTTATAAACTAACACCATTTAAAATTTTCTATATCCTTTTCCTAACCAGAATGGTACCCAACTAGGTTGCCTTCTAATTTTACTACATTGGCGACCGAAGAAGGCGCCTTATCCAAAGTTTTGATTATAATTGCTGCTATCTTTACTGTAATAGATGTAAAGTTGTACATCTACAGTTCATCTCAAAATGGTATGAAGTATTTCTTTCGTATGTAAACATAGAAGCTTCTTGTCATTTCTATAATGCTATATATAGGTGATACACAGGGTGGTGAATCATTGAACGAAATGAGAAATTCTAAATTGTTGAATTCCTGCTTACCTCTAATTATTTTACACCAAAAGTCATGAGAATATATTTGTAGAAGACTAAAATCTGTATCGAAAACAACTGTTAACATTGTTTTATAAATTAAAGGTATTTCAAAATTTTGTAAAAATATAATACATTTTTCAGGCCACCCCTAAAACTCAGGCCACACGCAGTGCAAGAATGTGTATGACCTGTTGCGTTTGATCACATGATGTTTCTGATATATTTTACAATATTTAAATTACCAAAATTTTTATGTTGTGATTTATTGTTTAAAAAATAATAAAGTTGATCATCAAATGTACTCAGTTGAGGAGAAAGTAGTAATACTAAAAATATTTTATTCAGCAATAGGGGCAAAGTGTCATTTCTTTAAGCTAAAACGTGATATATCCCATTTGACCAATTCCAAGTCATTCAAAAATTCTAAGGATTTCACAAAATTTTGAAAATACTGGAACTATGATTTCTAATTGTACCTATATAAACAATATGGCTAACAAATTTAGGAAATCAAAATAAATTTACCGTATTAACAGCAGTAGTAGATACTTCTAGAATAAGTTCTTGGATCATTGCAGGTCAGTTTAATACTCATAATTTCTACGGCTTTAAAAATGTTAAAAAGGAATAAATTCCGTTCATATAAATTTTAATGTCGTCAAGAACTAAGAGAAGGTGATGCTGAGCAACGAGCGGAATTTTGTTATGAAATTTTAGAGAGCACTAATGCAGACAGACCATTTTTAAAAAATATTTTGTTTAGTGATGAATGTACATTAACATTAAATAATGAACCAAATATTCCAAATTGTAGGATTTGGTCGGCAAGAAAGCCTGAGGATATTATTAAAAGCCGTACCCAATATCGACAAAAAATAAATGTAGGGTAGGAATATTTAGACCTAATATTATTGGACCATTTTATCAGGAAAATTTAAATTCAAAAAAGTTTAAGACTTGCTACTGAACGAGATTTTACCTAAACTTGCAAAAATAGCTTCAGATGAAAAAGAGATTTGGTTTTAAATGGAAGAATGGCCTGCTTTATTTAACAGCTTTAATAATTGTTTTACTGGACCTAACTGTAACATAGTGGCCTCCGAAATCGGGAGATCTAGCTCCAAACGATAATTTTATCTGGGGGCAGTTAAAATCAAAAATCTGTTCTGATAAAAATTTACAGATATTGAACACAATAAAAATGCGAATTATTGAAGAGTTTGCAAAAATATCGCCACGCGTTCTGGCTAATGTTAGACGAGAATTTTACAATTAATTGGGATACTATTTGGTACAATATGGCGGATTTTTGTAACATTTTTTTACGGTTTTATATTTAGAAATTATCATAAATTATTTTTAGAAATACCTAATGATCACAGTAAAACTATATTGAAATTCATTGAATTGTTTTATAACCTGGAATTGTATTAGAATATCTTACGTTCAATAAAAATCTGGCAGTGCTCGCACTATTACCTGAATACAACATTATTGCGATTTGTCGTCAACTGAGTACATTTCGTGATTTTGTTATAGTTTTATGTTTAGAAATCATCATAAATTATTTTTAAGAATAAGGATCTCAGTAAAACTACATTGAAATTGTTTGAATTGTTGTACAACCTTAAATTGACAGATTGTTCATCAACTGAGTATATTTCATTAATTTTATTGCTTTGTAAACAATATAATTTATTGTTTACAAAGTAACATTTATTGTTCAATAGTAGTAGTAGTATTTAGTTAAGTATATTCTTTATAATTTAATCATAAAATAAAAATATTGACAATTCAAATATTGTCAAACATCTAACGTCAATATAATCAACGTCATACATATGCTTGCTCTGCGTGTGTCCTTTAGGGCTAGTCTAAATTTATTTTACAATTTTACATTTGTTTTTAATACAGTTTTCAGTCCTCTGCACATAGTTTCTCATGCCTTTTGATGTAAAATAATTAGAGTAGCAGGAATTCAACAATTTATATTAATTCAGGAATTTCTCATTGAGTTTCCTACGGCCTGTTTGACGTAGCTCAATGAAGAAGAATGGAAAATAATAGATATATTTTAAACAGTTTATTTTTATTATATTAAAATAATCCAATTACTGTTTTTTATATTTAACACCAGCGGCACCCGCTAGAATATCGACAAAAACCGTCCGATTTCTTACGCAGACAGACATATATACTGATACAACTTGTAAATTATATCAAGAGTATTTATGAATAGAGAAAGAATCGAACGAGTCACAAATAAATTAATTGATGAATATATGTTGTGCTAAACTACTTGAACTGAATGTTAACTGTTAAGTTACAAATGATTTTAGTAATAATACTGTTACATTTAAACATAATATTTTTTAATTCTCCTCCTCATAATGTAATACAGGTTCATCACAAGAAAATCTAATCTTCAAAAGTTCAATAACTTTGTTTTGAATTAACTCAACGTTTTCAAAGGGAGTGTAATCATCTTCTGTTGATCTGGAAATCGTTACTATTACAGGAGGTTTTGACAAGATCTCCAAGAAATTTTTAAAGCAGTCGAACATTACTTCAAGTTCTTCCATGGAGGAAATATGATCGGGTAGTCCTGAATCATCGCAAGTGCAACCAGCGTCGTGTACTAGCAACCAATCTATGTCATCTTCTTCGTATTGTTCTAGCATATTTTTTCTAAAGTTGTCTACTTTCTTCCACTGCTCGCTCGGTTCTTCTACATCAGGCATTGTTTTGGTTTCGTTAAGGCTTTTAAAAATATTGTAAAGGGAATGGATCTGTTTCTTTCTCGTAGCTGTAGATTCAGAAATAGCGGCATCGTCTTTTGAACTAGGCGTTTTATAGTAATAAATATCTTTAAGCTGCTCGTACATGTTCGCCTTCTCATACATTCTTTTAAACGGATTACCTGTGCTAAAAAAGTCAAGATCTATATCCAAAACAACAGGAGCATCAGACCTAGATATTAACGAACGAATCTGGTTCAAATCATCACTACCATTTACTAATTTCTTTCCAAGAGTTGCGACGTCTAACTGAACTGCCCTTGAATTTTCAAGATCCTTAATGTTAGTGTACAAACATTCAGAAACAAAATAAGTTTCCTTGCAATCTAAACGTATTGTACCGTTAGTAGAATCTTTTCCAATATTGAAAATCTGACTCGAATCTTCAATTTGGTGCGCCCATGGCGGTTTGATCCACACCAAATGCTCGAAGTGTCCGGCATACGCCGCAGGCATGATCCAGTTTTCTATACTTAGACTATCGTACAGTTTTTCTTTATCGAAGACGTATTCAGCCGGCATGTCAAGAGGTATCAGCATGTCTGGATGAGAGTCGAAATGGATCAAAGTAGATCCTTCAACAGGTAGATGCTTCGATCCGATATTCTTATGAATAAATGGTATGACTTCATGATGGCCTTCGACCACATAGATAGGAATTTTCTTGTGCTGTTTATTCCTTCCGGCACCTGTTGGCCAAAAATACCAGGTCTTAGTAATACTTATCATGTAGTGATTTAATAATTCTAATCTACATTAATAGTTATGTTAAAGCAGCAGCATACAAATCAATATGTAAGATAAACAGCGCCTTAAATATCTCTCCTCAAAATACTTCCTGAACCATAAAACTTCAAAAATTAATAAATATGTGGATAATATTCCAGTCGTCACAGATTTGATCTCTAAAAACTAAACAAACAGGCTGGATTTTGTTGTGGTTGTAAAAAAGTTTGCCACTACTACCCCCAAGCTTCTTCCTAAAACCCGTCTTGTAAGGGGAAAACGGAAAACATTGATTTTCCAAGAATCTGTAGGTCGTAGAAAAAAATATTTCGAACAAAAAACCTAGCTAAAAGAATTTTGAACTAAAATGTATGTTAGCACTTTTTGTGTAGAATGAACCGTGTGGACAGAACAAGTCTGTTGCGAGTGGCATGCGACTACAGGACTGTGTCTGCGGCAGCCTTGTGGACAATCCCTGGATGTGTTCCGTTGCATGTTCTGGCGGTGGAAAGAAAAGAGCTCTATAAGAGAAGAGACCCAAATATTACTATGGCCGAGAGAAGACAGGAAAGGGAAAGGTCAATTGAAAGATGACAAGAAGAATGGAATAACACGGAGGATGTGGCACAGTGGACGAAAATCCCTAACATAAAAGATTGGGTGGACTGTGGTCACAGGTGACTGGATTATTTCCTGACGCAGGTGCTCGCAGGACACGGATGTTTTAAGGCCCACCTCTCTAGATTCGGAAAGGCTGACACATATGTACAGAGCTTAGCAAGTATTTATAAAGGCGTCATGTGAATGAAATTGAGGCTGGCATTTTTTTTAATTCTAGTTCTTTTGGAAATATATTAATAATAAACGCAAATCTTATATTCTACCATTGAGTATGAGTTATGGTAATGAAAGTAGTGAAAATGGTTCAGATATTGTGAATTTATTTGCTGGGTTCTTTTCGACTGTCTATAATAAAGAAAAAATAAATCAGATTCCTAATTTTAAGTACGAAAATTATGTTAATGTTAATAATTATTTAATTAATGTTAAGGATATTATTGATAAGATAAAGAATAATCCGTGGAAACTGACAGCGGGTCCAGATGGTATACCAATGTATTTTATTAAAAAATGTGTATTCACTCTTGCTAAACCTATTCAGTTATTATTCAATAAGTCCTTAACTTCTACATTTCCTGATTTTTGGAAAGTGAGTTTTTTAAAACCCACTTTTAAATCTGGTCAAAATAATAATGTTGAAAATTACAGGGCTGTTTGTTTGCAGTCTGAACTACCAAAGTTGCTTGATTTTTTTGTTAACCATATGTTAACCTACGATTGTAAAAATTTAATTCTCGGTCAACAACATGGTTTCTATCAAAAGAAATCTACTTGTACAAATCTTATTTTGTATTCAAACTTCATTGTTGATTCTATGGAATCGGGAAACCAAGTTGACTCCATATATGCTGATTTTGCCAAAGCATTTGACAGAGTAAATCACGAAATATTAATTGCTAAACTTCGTGGATACGGAATTGGAGATAATTTATTGGGTTGGATCACGAGTTATTTAACAGATCGTTCACAAATAGTAAAATATGGTAATTTTGTTTCTGAAGCGATTAATGTTACTTCGGGTGTACCTCAAGGTTCTCACTTAGGTCCACTTCTATTTAATCTGTCTGTGAATGATATATCATCCGTAATTAATAATAGTGAATTTCTATTGTTTGCTGATGACATAAAGATCTTTAAAGCAATTAAGAATACCTCTGATATGGATGCTCTTCAGTCTGACTTAAATAATTTATCTCGTTGGTGTGACAGTAATGCCTTATATTTAAATATAAAAAAGTGCTATAAAATTACGTTTTCCAGAAATACTAAACATCAGTTATATAGAACATACATACTTAAGGGAGTATCGATTACAGAAGTAAATCAAATTGGAGACCTTGGAATTACATTTGACCAAAGACTAATGTTTGATAGGCATATTAATAATATTACATCGCGGGGTTATAAAATGATCGGCTTTGTTCAAAGGAACTCCCGAGAATTTTCAATATTTACTTTCAAAATTTTGTATTGTTCTCTAGCTCGGTCCATTTTGGAATATTGTAATATTATTTGGTATCCATATTATAGTATGTATATTGATCAGTTGGAACGAGTTCAAAATAAATTCCTAAGAATGTGCAGGTATAAAATGGGTTTTAATAGAACTAACTGTGATTATAACTATATTCTTTGTCAACTTAATATGAAAACTTTAGAAAATAGAGAATCTGAGTGTGAATTGCGTTTTTTGCATAAAATTCTTAATGGTTATGTTGATTGTCCGGAACTGCTGGAATTAATTGTTCTTAATGTATATTCTAGAAGAACACGCTCTCCTGACCTGTTTAGACTAAAGTTTCATCACACTAATTATGGTAAAAGTGAGTCAATCACAAGGATGTTGAGAACTGCCAATAATTTGCAAGATAATGTTGAATTGTTTAATTTATCCGTGTTCTCGTTCAAGAATAGTTTAAAGAAATTGAGACATTAATGTTATTAATACTTTTTAAAATTGTAATATATGACTACAGTTTATATGTTAATTATATGTGTATGTTGTAATTTTTGTAAGGAAAAAGGGTTCATCCCGTTAAATAAACAAACAAACAAACAAACAAAGATGAATGGCTATACTGCGGACACTCGGACACTGTGATATATACGAAGTTGAAGGTAAAAGTGTGTCAGACTGTATGAGTTAGACTGTGTGAGTCAGACTGTGGGGAAGTAGGATTTGCCCGTCTGGGAGTGATACCGAGTGGAACGAGACGGGCAGCCTCCTTGCTGACAGTCTTTTGAAGATTCTAGAACCCCCTCTACAAAGATGAGATAAAAAAGCTTTGTATTTAAAAACCCATTCAATTGATGACATTTCTAATGATACTGAATAAATTATAAATAAATATTACTAACTGTTATAATAGCATTCTTCGAATTTACATTTTTAGGTGCAAATGTTATCTTATCCTACCGCGTTATTGCAATCTTATCGACGAAAAATATAGATCATTTTTTATTTTTTAAGTTATATGATGACTGATTGTATTTTAATAAAATGTTCATTATTATTTATAGAAATAGATAAAAGGTGTAAAAAAAACGTCATGATGAGCATACAATACGTAATTTTAAAGTTAAACACATCATTACACATTGAATATATTAAAATAATATACGTGTATTGTAGTAAAGGAATAAGAGAAATAAGTAGGTCAAATTATTTAATCACAATATTACCGCGAATAACTTCTGGCTTATACACAAAAAAATCTCTCCTTATTTGGAGGTTTCCAAATACGGTTGAAAATGTGTAACAAGGACGAATGCAATATCTCCTTTAGTCACCGGTCAAAATATTAAAAGATTCGTGTAGAAGGTAACAGAAATTTATTTACAGTTTGTTATCAATAAAATTGAATCTGAATCGATCTACCTGTGAGAAAACTCGATGATATTATACATTAAACTCAGTTTCTAAATTACAATAGACAACTATCACAAACCTAAAAATAGTAACTGATAACATGATGAAAATAGAGTAATGTGGTGATAAAAATTAACTTTATTTCTACTGAAAATTAGAGAAATTCCTATTGGAAAAAGAAAAACTCACACCCTATCGCAGATGTTTATATTGATATAAATTTATCTGAAGCCGAATTTGGTCAACCAAATAAATTACCACATTATTAAATAAATATTTCCTCAATATTTACAATCTAGAGCAGGGGTGTCCAACTTACAATGTCTCAAGGGCCAAAACTAAAACCTTTGATGTTGCCGTGGGCCATATAATAATTTTGTTACAAGTAGTAACAAAATAAAGTGAGGTATAAAAATAATTCAAACAAAAAAGAGTATTATTTTTTTTATTGCTCAACAACTACATTTTTTTATAAACGGAAAATTTATTGATAACACTTTTCAATAATCAATACAAACATTGCAAAAGCAACGAAAAAGATATATCCAATTAGTGTGAGGACTGTGGTCGATCGGCTTCCTCCACCAATAAAGAAATGTCCACCTCCAGTTCAGTTGTAGACATTCTCATAAGATGACGAAAGAAAGAATCGGTAAGGTTGCTTCTGTTTTTATTTTTTATGTATTTCATGGAGGAAAAGGCACTTTCACATGTATATGTGCTTCCGAACATTGACAACATTTTCAGTCCAAAATCTCACAGGTTTGGGAATTTCTTCTTTGACAGTAATTTAAAAAATTTAGGTCCCTTTTCTTGTCTGGTGATTAGGAACATGTCTGCTTGAAGATCACATAACTCAAGCTGTAAGTTGGGTGGTTAATCATCAATGGTTGCTTCAAGAGGGTTATTATAAAGTAGTACACTGCTTTTGAGACTTTCAATTTCTTCAATTCTTGTATGGAATTCATCAATAACTTGTTCGATTTATGAAATGCAGGATGAAAACTCAATATTTTCCTCACCGTTGAATTCTTCTGCTATTTGCAGACAGCTAGGGAGTTCATTCCGATCCATTCATTCCGAGGGAAAATCATTCCGATCAAATCTGAAACCGTCTGGTTTCTTCCTTGAAGACACAAGTTTAACATGTTAAGATGATTAGTCAGATCTGTTATAAAAGCTAACTGTCTTAAAAATTCTGGATCCTTAAACTTCTCTTCCAGTTCAGTTGTGTCAGATGAAACGTATTTGTTGGGGAATGCGGGGAATTCCTTTCTTATGGCAAAAAATCGTTCCATGCACTTTCCTGCACTCAGCCACCTTACATGGTTGTACATTAGCAAGTTTCCATACTCAGCCTCTGTTTCCACTAAAAACTGTTTAAGTTGCCTGTGTAAAAGAGATCGATTTCCACCTCTAATCATATTTATAATCTTAATCACGGGTTGGAAAGCTTGATCTTCCTTGACTGATTTTCCACATAAAGCTTCCTGATGTATAATACAGTGAACTG